GCCGGAACTACAGGCGCATGCCACCATTTTCAGCTATTTTTTTGAGTTATTGTAGAGAGGAGGTCTTGCCATGTTACCCAGGCTGGTCTCGAACCCATGGGCTCAGGCAATCTTCTCACCTCGCCCTCCCAAAGTGCTGGGATTACAGGTGTGGACCACCACACCTGACTTTTTGGTGCTTTTTAAAATGCCAATATTGACCAGGGGTGGTGGGTGAAGCCTGTAATCCCAGCACTTTGGAAGGCTGAGGTGAGAAGATTGCCTGAGCCCATGGGTTCGAGACCAGCCTGGGTAACATGGCAAGACCTCCTCTCTACAATAACTCAAAAAAATAGCTGAAAATGGTGGCATGCGCCTGTAGTTCCGGCTACTTGAAAGGCTGAGGCAGAAGGATTGCCAGATCGCTGAAGCCCAGCAGATCAACACTGGGGCGGCCATGAGCATGCCACTGTACTCCAGTCTGGGCAACAGAATGAGATTCCAACTCCAAAATAAAATAAAATGCCGTGCGTGGTGGCTCAAGCCTGTAATCCCAGCACTTTGGGAGGCGGAGGTGAGAGGATTGCCTGAGTCCACAGGTTCAAGACCTGCCTGAACAAATTGGTGAGACCCTGTCTCTACAATAAATCATTAAAAAATTAGCCAGGGCCAGACTCAGTGGCTCAGCCTGTAATCCCAGCACTTTGGGAGGCTGAGGCGAGTGGATTACCTGAGCCTGCAGGTTCGAGACCAGCCTGGGCAACTTGGCAAGACCTCGTCTCTACAATTAATCAAAAACTAAGCCAGTCGTGGTAGTGCATGCCTGTAGTTCTGGCTACTTGGGAGGCTGAGGCAGAAGGATCACCGGAGCCCAGCAGGTTGAGACTGTGGTGACCGGGAGGGTGCCACTGCACTCTAGCCTGGGTGACAGAATGAGACTCCAACTCAAAAAAAAAAAAAAAAAATTAGCCAGGCATGGTGGCGTGTGCCTGTAGTTCTAGCTACTTGGAAGGCTGAGACAGAAGGACTGCCTGAGCCCAGCAGGTTGAGGCTGCAGTGGCTGTGAGTGTGCCACTGCACACCAACCTGGGCGAAAGAGAGACTCTGACACAAAAAATAAATAATTAGATAGATTAAAATAAAATGTCAATGCCAGGTACAAGAAAAATAAAATCAAAATCCCTAAGGCCAAGGTCTGGGTGTGTGTGTAAAATTTTGTTACACAATTATCTAATCCTATACGCGGTCTTATTTTAGGGAGTCAGTCACTTTAAAAGTTTTTCAAGTGATTCTTTTTAGTTTAAGGATATGGGGTACAATTCAGGGTACAGATGGTCATTGTACAGGTAAAGTTTGGGCCTTACTTTGGTCCCCACTTCACCTGATTTGAGATCAGGTACCCTTATTGATGAAGTATGTCCTCCCCCCCGCAGTCTCCCACTAATGCCAATCCCTTATTTATAGTATTATGATAATTGTTCAGGTTCCACTTATGAATGAGGATATGTGGTTCTCAGTTCTTTGTTTCTGTGTTAGATCACTGAGTATTATGGACTCTAAATCCATCCAAGTTGCTGCGAGCTTCATAATGTCCTTTATGGCTGTGTAATATTCCATTGTGTATATGTATCACATTTTTTTATCCAGTCCACTTTTGATGGGCAGCACAGTTGGTTCCATGTGTTTGCTATTGTGAATATAATGCTGCAATAAACATGTGCCAGGTGACTCTAAAGGCTAATCGAAAGCCACTGCTATAGCTCAATGGTTGACATGTAGCTAGCACTCAAATATTTTACGTGGATGAATAGATATTTAGATACACTTTTTACTGATGAGGCCAAGTGGCTGCATGAGGTCACACAGTTAATAAATGATGGAACAGCCGGGCTCAGTGGCTCAGCCTGTAATCCCACGCCTTTAGGAGGCTGAGGTGAGTGGATTGCCTGAGCCCGCGGGTCCGAGACCTGCCTGGGCAATCTGGCGAGCCCTCATCTCTACAATAAATCAAAAAATTAGCCAGGCATGGTAGCGCGTGCCTGTAGTTCCAGCTACTTGGAAGGTTGAGGCGGAAGGATCACCAGAGCCCAGCAGGTCGAGGCTGCAGTGGCCGGGAGCAGCCACTACACTCCAGCCTGGGCGACAGAGTAAGACTCCAACTCTAAATAAATAAATTAATTAATTAATTAAATGATGGAACAAGAACGTGAGTCCAGTTTTTCTGATCCAAAATCCCAAGGTTTTTTGGGGAGGGTCTCACTCTGACACCCCCAAGTGTTTTCTATAACTATATCATACACCAAGGAAGACGGCATTTAGCATACTAGGGGAGCAGCTTTTTTCAAAGCTCCATAGCCTTTGAGAATCACCGTTACGGCACCATGTTATGTTTGTTGTTGTTGTTGTTTTGAGTTGGAGTCTCACTCCATTACCCAGGCTGGAGTGCAGTGGCACACTCACGGCCAGCCAAGCATCAACCTGCTGGGCTCTGGCGATCCTTTCACCTCTTCCTTCCAAGTAGCTGGAACTACAGGTGTGTGCTATCATGCCCGGCTAATTTTTAAATTTATTGTAGAGATGAGGTCTCACCAAGTTGCCTGGGCTGGACTCAAACCTGTAGGCAATCCACTCACCTAGCCCTCCCAAAATGCTGGGATTACAGGCTGAGGCACTGAGCCTGGCATATTTTTGTTTGTTTGTTTTGAGTTGGAGTCTCATTCTGTCACCCAGGCTGGAGTGCAGTGATATGCTCATGGCCACCCCAGCATCGACCTGCTGGGCTCCGGCAATCCTTCCGCCTCAGCCTTCCAAGTAGCCAAAACTATATGTGCATGCTACCATGCCCAGCTAATTTTTTTATTTATTATAGAGACGAGTTCTCACCATGTTGCCCAGGCTGGTCATGAACCCGTGGTCTCAGGCAATCCTTTTGCCTCAGCCTCCCAAAGTGCTGGGATCATAGGCTTGAGCCACTATACCTGGCTATGTTTTGTAACAAAAAGAAATCTCTTAATGTACAGCACATTCATGTAATAGAAACCTGAAACAAGTAGAGATTTTATTAACAAGGGTTGGTATGTTTACCCACACCAATCTGTGACCTTTATGTTAGGTTAAAATATATCCCAACAGGGCCTCCTGACATTAGGTCTGGCCTGATGAGGGGTGTCTGGTTTGCAATCCAGTGCTGTGAGAAGAATGCACGGAAGCTAGATTGGAAAATATAGTTTATTTAGAAAGTAAATTAGAAAAAGATTGATTCACCTCCCCAAGGTAGAGGAGGGGGCCAAAGCTAGGAAACATGGTGGCCATATCTTAAAGAGCCGCGTGGACACATCAGAGTTTAATAAAGCAATGGCAAATAGCTGCTTCAGGTTGAATCCTCTTAAACTTTGATGGGGGCAGGTTATTAAGGCATTTTGGGTGATGGTCTGGTCCACATCATCATGGAGGGCAGGTAAGCGCAGGTACGGGTGTCTTGTGATGGAGGGCAGGCAGATGGGTGAGTTAGTCACACGATTGCTGCCATAGTGATGGGGTCTGTCATGAAGGTCACGAAGCTGATTAGGTTAACTTGGGTCTTATGGGCGGAAGTAAATACTTGAAATAGAAAAGCTAATTATTACAAAACAAGCTGGGGAGCAAGGTTGTAAAACAATTATCAATAACTACCTCTGTTATTGAGAAACCAGTTCTGTCCTTGCCTAGTGATCAGAGGGTAAATAAAGTGAACTGCTGGAGAAACATGACAAAGCTAAGCAATGTTAAAATGGCTGCTCATTGGGTATATTGACTCCATGTTATGTCCTCTCACTTTCCATGACCACTTACATATTGTAATAGGTAATTTAATTCAGCAAAAATTTTTTTGTGCACTCATTACATCAGTCATTGCCCTGTGGGTTGTTCTTGCCTTCAAATTTCTCTCAATCTAGGAGGAAAGATAGGCATATACATAAACTATACTATTGGCTGAGAAATACAACAGAAATATGAATAAGATACATATGCTGCTCAAAGGAAGGAAGGAAGGATTCTATAGGTGGGGAGTTGAGAGATTGTCAAAAAAGGTTTTATGGAAGAAGTAACAGTTCAACTGGAGCAGGGGTGATCAGAATTCCTCTACACAGCACCCAGCACCACAGTGTATTGATTTCCCTTTTGATCAACAGGTAAATTCACATAGCAAGGAGGCACTCTTTTCTTGGAGCTTGGGAACTTGTGAAACAAGCCCAGCTACTCTGCCAGCTCTGAAATTGAAGGTCCAGCTACTGCTACGTTGAAATGGTCTTTGAGCTGGATGCAGTAGCTCACACCTGTAATACCAGCACTTTGGGGAGCAGAGATTAGAGGATTGCCTGAGTCCAGGGGGTCGAAACCAGTCTGGGCAACTTGGCAAGACCTTGTCTCTACAATAAATCAAAAAATTAATTGGGCGTGGTGGCATGCACCTGTAGTTCCAGCTATTTGGAAGACTGAGGCAGAAGGGTGGCCGGAGCCCAGCAGGCCGAGGCTGCAGTAGCTGCGAGTGTGCCACTGCACTCCAGCCTGGGCAAGAGAGTGAGACTCCGACTCAAAAAAAAAAAAAAAGCCCATTGGAGGAAAGCAGTTGGGATTAATCGTCCACAGTCCTATTATGGAAGACACAATTCCTGAAAGGGTGTACATTAGCAATAAAGCCCAGAAAGTTAGAACTCTGAGTCTTGAGTTAAAGACCCATGCAGGAGAATGGGGGACATGGAGGGCAGAAGTTCATACTATAATTAGCTCTAGGAATAACACAGATGGGGGAGGGAGGGGAGTACAGGCAGCATCTATTTTGAGTACAGCTCCGATTGACGGGACACGTGTGCTGGACTGTACTGATCCCAGGGTGAAGTTGCCTGCTTGTGGTGTGTGGTGGGGGGGGGAGGTGTAGGGCAGCAGGAGCAGGACAGCCGGACAGACAGGCCGGACGGGGTACCAGCACCTCAACTTCTTTCCCTGGAACACCGTCCAAACTCCGGGGTCCATAGGCCAAGCTGAGTAATGGGTGCTGAGGAGGAGGTGCTGGTCACACTATCAGGGGGAGCGCCCTGGGGCTTCCGACTTCAGGGGGGGGCCGAGCAGAGGAAACCCTTACAGGTGTCCAAGGTAAGGGAGAGCCCTGAAAGGAGGTTTCAGGGAAAGGGGAGCCCAGTGGATCCTGGGAAGAGTCATGTGGTGGCCTATGGCTGCGGGGGGAGAATGGGGGGCTGTGCAGATGGGGTGGGTAGGTGGGCAGGGAAGCATGCTCAAGTCTGGTAGGGGGAGTAAGTAGTGTTTGACCACAGGCTTCTGGTGTATGTGATGGGGTGGGAAGGAGATGTTACAAAAGAGAATTCCTGGTTTCCAGGGAATGGAGAGAAAGAAAGGTTCTGCTTTGGTTCCTTGCAGCACCCTGGTAGCAGAAGCCCTGGTCTGGTCATCCAGTGTTTGCCCTCTTGAGTATGTGCCTCTACTCCAAACTCTAGGAATGTAGGGAAGGTTCTAATTTCTCTCTGACCATACTGATATATGATGAGCTGAAGCTGTCTCACCCAGCCCAGCCAGCCCTGCCTCGCCCTGCCTTGCCCTGCCTTGCCCATGCTTTCAGCGCTCTTCTTTCCCTAAGTCAGATCCTTTCTCTCACTAGGCAAGGCTTTTTTAGGTGCTAGGAGGGTTATGGCAAGATCTGGCCTCTCAGATGAAGTCATTACTCTTTTGGTTTCACCCTACAGTTTGAACTGTAAAATGTGGGTAATAATAGTATCTGTGCCTACTTCATAGAAGCATTCTAAGCATTAAATGAATAATACATGTAGCGCAGTGTCCAACACTTAGTAAGAACGCAGTAAATGATGGCCCACTATTGCTATTGTAATTGCTTTAACATATGAACATGTGTGTGCACATATGGTACACATACACAATCACAATCTCTCAGAATCTGGCTGGACTCCATCCAATCTGAAATACTGTTTAAAAATCTTTTTTTTTTTTTTTTTTTGAGTTGGAGTCTCACTCCGTCGCCCAGGCTGGAGTGCAGTGGCATGCTCCCGGGCACTGCAGCCTCGACCTGCTGGGCTCTGGCGATTCTTCCACCTCAGCTTTCCAAGTAACCAGAACTACAGGAGTGCACTATCATGGCCAGATAATTTTTGATTTATTGTAGAGACAAAGTCTCACCAAGTTGCCCGGGTGGGTCTCGAACCCACAGGCTCAGGCAATCCACTCGCCTCGGCCTCCCAAAGTGCTGGGCTTATAGGCTGAGCCACCGAGCCTGGGCCTAAAAATCTTAACTGTATAACTGCACCTGGAATTCCAAGACCAATATAGATATTGCCCTTGGAGGAAAATCTTGTGGATTTAGCTACCATTTCTAATATCTCTCCCATTCCATTTTCCCCAGGCTTCTTTCATTCTGTGATTACCCTGCCTCCCATTATACAGTGTATTACTCCCTCCAATCTGCACACCTTCTTCCCTTTAGACAGGCACCTACAAATGTAGCCCCCTGCATCTCTCCATCCCTCTCACTCTGCAAAGTAAAATCCCCTCACATGGATCCTTTCTGTCTTTTTGTTTTTTTTTTTTTTTTTTTTTTTTGAGTCTGAGTCTCACTCTGTCACTCAGGCTGGAGTTCAGGGCAGTGGCATGCTCACGGCCACTGCAGCCTTGACCTGCTGGACTCAGGCAATCCTTCCACCTTAGCTTTCCAAGTAGCTGGAACTACAAGCATGTGCCACCACACCTGGCTAATTTTTCTTGATTCATTGTAGAGTTCTGCGGGTTGGTCTCGAACCCCTGGGCTCAAGTAATCCTCTCACCTTGGCCTCCCAAAATGCTGGAATTACAGGTGTGAGCCACCACACCCAGCCCTGACTTTTCCTTTTATTCTATTCCCATTGGAGTCCTCTCATACTCTTACCTATAATCTCTCCTCGAACATCTCAGATCCGAAGACGGAGCCAAGCTGGTAGAGCAGGACTCCGTGAGAGGGACAAACTCTTAGCAATCAATGGAGTCTCTTGCACCAGCCTCTCTCATGCCAGTGCTATGAGCCTCATCGATGCCTCAGGGAATCAGCTTATCCTCACTGTGCAACGGTATGGGCCTCTCTCCCCTTCTCTTCTGCTAGTCCAGGGCTCCCATTATCTGTCTCAGCCCTGTGTCTCACTGGCTTCAACAACTAACAAGTATCTATTTCTGCTCGTGTATTTCTGCTAGAGTATAGATATTTGTGTATGCCTCCCAAAGGGCTTGAATGTGTCTATAGTTAAGGGCTAGGAGTGTCCTAGTCTGTCTTCCCCTCATCACGTTTTTACTCCGAGCCCTCCAAGCCCATTTGCCTGCTGGTCTGTCTTCATATCTTCACTCTTCCTAGCCCATCCATTCCAACTGTATGCCATTTCCCCCTTTCTCCCTTACCCCCCCCATCCCATCCAGATCTCTCTAGCTGTCAGTCACCTAGCCCATCTCTCAAGTTCTGTCATCTTTCCCATCTAGGTTAGCAGATGAGGGGTCTGTGCGATCTCCATCCCCTGGTGAGCTTCAGGTGCTGTCACCTTTATCTCCTCTGAGTCCTGAGCCCCCTGGTGCTCCAGTTCCCCAACCTCTTCAGCCTGGGAGCCTTCGCTCACCTCCTGACAGTGAGGCCTACTACGGAGAGACAGACAGTGATGCTGATGGCCCTGCCACCCAGGAGAAGCCCCGCCGACCCCGCCGCCGAGGCCCCACGAGGCCCACTCCTCCGGGTGCCCCACCCGATGAGGTCTACCTGTCTGATAGCCCTGCAGAGCCAGCACCTACCATCCCAGGCCCTCCCAGTCAGGGTGACAGCCGTGTGAGCTCCCCATCTTGGGAGAATGGGGCAGCCCTTCAGCCACCCCCAGCCGAAGTCCTGCTGTTACCGCATGGCCCCCTCCGACCTGGCCCTCATCTCATCCCCATGGTGGGGCCTGTTCCCCATCCCGTAGCAGAAGATCTTACTACCACCTATACCCAGAAGGCCAAGCAAGCCAGTGAGTACACGACCTCTTTTTCCCCAAACAGAATCCTTCAATATGAGCCCTAAATCTATCCCTCCATAGTCATACCTTCTCCCTACCTTATACCCCTTGAATACAGTCTTGTTCCCTTTATTTTTGCTGTTTGAGCCAATGCAGCAAAAAGGTAAGGTGATTCAGTCCAACTCAGGAACAGGGTAAGTAGGGGCGTCGGGAGGGGACATGAACAGATGAAGGGTTTGGTAGTGGTTATTGTTGCTATTGTTTATCAGGATGGCGTCATGATGGAGCAAGAGCAGAGTACAGACACAGGGTGAGGGAGTATTTGAAAGTGGGACAAGGCTATAGGGGTTTTTTACAGTATTAATTGCAGGCATAGTATCAGAGCTACCTCTGACATCTGTAGGTTCAATTAGGATTCCTGGGGCCTAGGAGGCTATGGGGTGGTCATGAGATCTCTAGGAAGTGGTAGACAGAGGAATCTTTAGCTTCTTATCTCAAGCAAGAATGTTGGCCAGTCCCACTTATCTCAGACTCTTTGCTATTTTTGATGTGAGCTACAGAACAAGGTCTAAGGGTGAACTTTCTCCCTGCCATATGCCTCCCATTCTTCTCCCACAGAGAACTTTCTTGTCACCTCCAAAATCTCAGGATTCCCCCTCTAGTTCACATCTTTCTTTCCTCCTCTCCACTGTTCTGATTCCTGATCCATAGAACTTTGTGTCTCTAAGCTTGGAATAGAGGTTAAGGACATGACAGTTTAGTCTGACACCCCTGAGAGTGTCCAAATCCTGCGAAGAAATCCAGATGCATGTCCAGGATCCCATGCTTTCCTCAGTTCTCAATTTAGCACCCCTTCCCTTCCCATCATGATGGGAAGAGACTGTAGTTAGTGACTTGGAGATATTTTTAGCCAAGCACACTTCATTGTCCACTGGAGTGGGGTGGGGGGAAGGGGAGGCAGGTGCCCACGTCCATCACACCGGGGCTTGTGGGGCAGCTGGGAGAAGGGAGGGGGCCATGCTCCAAAAATAGCACAGTGAGCTCATTCAGCTGCCAGCTCTGGGGACAAGACAAAGGGGCTTTAAAAGGCGTGGGGGGTGGTTCAAGCTGGTCTTGCTCCAGCCAACACTGCCTTTCTCGGCATGGAGACCTTTGAGCCCATCAGCCAAGAGCTTCTCAGCCAAGCCAGCTGCGACAAAGCCCCAGACCCCGTTCCTGAGCTCCAAGACCCATTCTATGCAGGTACTACCCTCCCACCTCTAAGAGAGTTCTGGGGTCTAGAATGGAGGGGAATACATCAATAGTTTAGGAAGGGCAGTCTTTGTGAAAGGTCTTCCTCTTTTGTTCCCTCCTTTTTGCTGACCTCTTACTCCCGATCTCAGAAGAGTTTCACTGCCCCTTTCTCAGTGATGCTAATGGCCATATGTCAAAGGGATTTGTGACCACATGAACTGTAGAAAACTCATGGGAACAGAGTGTGTATAAGACAAATTGAGTACATTATGAATACATGAAGGCATGTATGTATGAGTCTGTGAACAAGAAAGTGTATATGTGTGTAGCTAGTGTCAAGAAAACTGTAACAGTAATGGGTAAAAAAATAGTAATGGTTACTCACAGTGGGCCTTCATGTTAAGTGCTAAATTTACCTATATTACCTCACTTAATCCTCATAGCAACCTTATGAGATAGTCATGGCCACCCTAATTTACAGATGAGGAAACTGAACTTTAATGAAGTGAAGTAACTCTCCCAAAAGCCAAAAACCAAACTGGACTCTGACACCAGTGCCTCTTCTCTCATTACAGTACTCTTCTGTGGTATAAATGTTGGGGATGAGAGGAGTGAGAGCACTCATTGGAAAGGAGCCTGGTATCCTGAATGGAAAGTAGATGGAATTTCAAGAATTTTTCAGGAGGAACTGGGGACTATGAACCAGAGAGTAGCCATGTGCAAGGCGGGGTTCAGCCTCTCCCATGTCCTGGCCCCACCTACCCAGACCCTACATGGCATGGGAAGCCCTGCCCTTGTTTCCTTTAGCACATTGTCCTTGTGTGCCTGTCTGGCAGTGGCCACCTGAACTCTCTACCCAGAAGACTTGGAAAACAGGGTGCAGCTCTGATCCCCAAAGAAGCCTATCCCACAACCATCCCCAGCTTGGGGGAAACAACACCTTTAGCTGACGATCTTGAGGTATCTTAAAGATTGGAGGGTTGCCTTGGAGAGCAGCACTCTGGCTTTTCCTGTTTCTTGGATCTGAGACTATGCCTAGCTGTGAGTAGCAAGGGTGTGAAGTGCAGTTGAAAGGCCAAGATGAACTCTAAAGTATCATTCAAATTGTTAGTAACAGGGTGTCTACAGGAGAGACTCTGGGAAGATGTGTGAATGTATTTGAGTGACTGTGTGCTTTTGTGTGGGCACATGTGTGTTTCCACATATATGTGAAATGAGGTATATATAAGCTGGGGTACATGTGAGTAAGAGAAAAGTACATAGGAGAAAGTATGCCTAGAGCTGGCTTTCACTAGGTTGATATTCTCGTTGAACTGTTGTGTGGTAGGCGTTATTTCTATGAATGTTTATGATGTGTACTGCATGATGGGGTGGAATTATGAATGAAGATCCTCATTGCTGCAGGGTCCTTTGTGTCTCTTCCACCTGAACTTTATAAGATGCCTCCTAACATGATCTCTATGGTGGGAGAAAAGTGTCCTTTCTCATCTCTTCTCTCCCTTGGATCTGCCTCATCTCCCTGCCTGCCATAAGTGACACATCCCCCATCTCCTACTGCCAGTTAGGAATGGGAGGCAGGTGAGGAATGTGTGTGGGTGGATAAATGCACATCTCTGAGAAGATAGGAGCAGACTAGAGGGAAGAGGGGATAGAAGAGCAGTGTTGGGCAGCCAACTGGACTCTGCCTTCCCTCTCACTGTCCTTGGTTTCACCTTTCACCTCCACTCTGCCCCCAAGTCAAAGAACTTTGCCACAGGCAGGAGACATTGTGGGTCTGGCCGGTGAAAGATAGGAGGTAGGAGATGGGAGGCATGAGGGAGCTGGCTAGGGTGAGGGGTGAAAGCCTTGGAGAACAGGACTAGAAGAGGCTGAGGAAGCCCCACTGACCATTCTACCTCTTGGCCTCCTTAGAACTGCAACGTGCAGAGAGTCTCCAAGAGAAGAGTGTGAAGGAGGCCAAGACCAAATGCCGGACAATTGCATCCCTGCTAACTGCAGCCCCCAACCCGCACTCCAAAGGGGTGCTTATGTTTAAGAAACGGCGGCAGAGAGCCAAGAAGTACACCCTAGTGAGCTTTGGGGCTGCTGCTGGGACAGGCGCCGAGGAAGAGGACGGCGTTCCACCCACGAGTGAGTCTGAGCTGGACGAAGAAGCCTTCTCCGACGCCCGAAGCCTCACCAATCAGTCCGACTGGGACAGCCCCTACTTGGACATGGAGCTGGCCAGGGTGGGCACAGCAGAGGGCCAGGGGGCCGGGCTGGGAGGGCAGCTGAGTGAGGCCTCTGGGCGAGGGGTCCAGCTCTTTGAACAGCAGCGCCAGCGCACAGCTTCCAGCACCCAGGAGCAGGCTCCGGCTGGCGCAGCCGCCATGCTCAACGGGCAGGGCCTGCAGTCACCACCTCGGGCCCAGAGTGCACCTCCCGAGGCGGCTGGACTCCCACCCAGCCCTTTGCCAGCCCCTGTAGCCAGCCCCAGACCCTTCCTCCCAGGTGGTGGAGCCCCCACCCCAGCTCCAAGTGTCTTTAACCGGTCAGCGAGGCCCTTTACCCCGGGCTTACAGGGACAGCGGCCAAGTACCACCTCGGTTATTTTCCGGCCTGTAGCCCCCAAGAGGGCGAATGAAAGCCTAGGAAGCCTCAGCCCTGCCCCACCTCCCTTCTCGCCCTCTCCGCAGGGGCCCACCCCTCTGCCTAGCTTCACCGCGGGGGTTCCCAGCCACGTGCCTGCCTCTGGTGCCCCCGGCACCCCACGCTCCTCGGGCCCTGTGACGGCCACCAGCTCCCTGTACATCCCAGCCCCCAGTCGGCCTGTTACCCCAGGCGGAGCCCCAGAGCCCCCCGCTCCTCCTAGCGCAGCTGCCATGACCTCCACAGCTTGCATCTTCCTATCTGCGCCTCTGCGACCCTCTGCGCGCCCAGAGGCGGCCGCCCCGGGCCCAGCGGCCCCTGAGCCCCCCAGCGCTAGGGAGCAGCGCATCTCTGTGCCAGCCGCCCGCACGGGTATTCTGCAGGAGGCGCGGCGCCGGGGGACGCGGAAGCAGATGTTCCGGCCGGGAAAGGAGGAGACGAAGAACTCGCCCAACCCGGAGCTGCTGTCGCTGGTGCAGAACCTAGATGAGAAACCCCGCGCCGGGGGTGCTGAATCTGGTCCTGAGGAGGACGCTCTGAGCCTTGGGGCTGAAGCCTGCAACTTCATGCAGCCACCAGGGGGCAGGAGTTACAAGACCCCGCCTCACGTGACGCCTAAAACCCCGCCTCCAATGGCTCCCAAGACCCCGCCCCCTGTGACTCCTAAGACTCCACCCCCGGTGGCTCCTAAGCCCCCATCTCGGGGGCTCCTTGATGGGCTAGTGAATGGGGCAGCCCCTTCGGCTGGAATCGCTGAGCCACCAAGGCTGCAGGGCAGGGGTGGGGAGCTGTTTGCCAAGCGGCAGAGCCGTGCGGACAGGTATGTGGTGGATGCTACACCTGGTCCTGGCCTTGGCCCTCGGCCCAGAAGTCCTTCTCCTACCCCTTCACTGCCCTCTTCCTGGAAATATTCACCCAACATCCGTGCCCCACCTCCTATTGCTTACAACCCACTGCTCTCTCCTTTTTTCCCTCAGGCTGCCCGAACACTCCCTAATAAGGCCCAATCCCAGGGACCCCGGGCAACGCCCAAGCAGGGCATCAAGGCTCTGGATTTTATGCGGCATCAGCCCTACCAACTTAAAACTGCCATGTTCTGTTTTGATGAGGTTCCCCCAACTCCTGGTCCAACGTCCTCAGGCCCCCCCAAAACTGCCCGAGTCCAAGAGATTCGCCGATTTTCCACTCCGGCGCCGCAGCCTACTGCAGAGCCCCTGGCTCCCACTGTGCTTGCCCCCAGAGCAGCCACTACACTGGATGAGCCCATATGGAGGGCAGAGCTGGCCTCAGCCTCTGTTCCTAGCCCAGCCCCTCTTCCTGAGTCTCCCAGGGGCCTTGGGGCCTCTTCCCCTAGTTCCTGTGCTTTCCAGGTAGCCAGACCTCGATTCTCAGCCACCAGAACAGGATTACAGGCTCATGTGTGGAGGCCTGGGGCAGGGCACCAGTGAGCAGGACACAGGTCCCAGGACCAAGGAGAGATGGGATATCCAGCTCCAAACGTTGCTTCTCCTCCCCTATCCCATCCCCCTCAGGCCTCTGGCGTCTCAATTCCCTCCTGCCAGAGAGAGTTTTGAGTTTGATGTCCCGTCCCCCAGTTTCCTCCCTGCCCTCCCTACTTTCCAACCTACTATCTCTGCTCTGGGTATCTTTGCTTCTATTTGTGTATTTCCTTGCCTGAACTCTTGTCTTTATCTCCAGGCTTCTCCATCCATATTTCTCTGTAGGTCTCTGTTTCTTTACATTTGTGCTTTTCTCTGTGGGCCTCATTTTGATGTCCAGTGAGAAGCACACAGAGTTGAAGTTACCCCTGGGACCTCAGGCAAGAAGCTCACCATCAGGCAGACAGCAAAGGGACTGAACTGACCCCTGTTTGCACTAAAACCTTCCCTACTCCTCACTCTGCTTTCCCAAGCTTGGCTGGCATATACCTAGGCCTGTACTTGTGTGTGAGAATGTGCAAGTGTGTACACAGATGTGCTCTTCTGTCTGAGGCAAGAATAAGAGGTGAGGTCTAAATAAAGACCCAGTCTGGGTCTTATTTTTGTACTAATAGAAGAGTGAGATATCTCCACATGGTGTCTAGTGGGGAGAAAGAGATTCACTAGAGGCTAACTCCTTAGAGACCAGCATCTACAGCAGATGTTCAGCATCTTGTGAAACTAATGGAGTATGAAAGACTGAAGGGTCGGGACAGTTTGCATGGGTTGAGTTACAATAGCTAGACTGGGAGTAGAACTAAGAATTCTTCTATTCCTCAGGATTTCAGAAAGTTAACAACTTGAGAGGACTGTGCTGAGCAACACAGCACCCATGAAATGAAAAAAAAAACAAAAAAAAAACACCAAAACTTTCTTCTAAGAATGAACAAATCAGCCGGGCTCAGTGGCTCAGCCTGTAATCGTGCGCTTTGGGAGGCTGAGGTGAGTGGATTACCTGAGCCTGCGGGTTCGAGACCCGCCTGGGCAACTTGGCGAGACCTCATCTCTACAATAAATCAAAAATCAGTTGGGCGTGGTAGCATGCGCCTGTAGTTCCAACCTGGAAGGCTGAGGCAGAAGGATCGCTGGAGTCCAGCAGGTCGAGGCTGCGGTGGGCGGGATCGGTCACTGCACTCCAGTCTGGGCGACAGAGTGAGACTCCAACTCAAAAAAAAAAAAAGAATGAACAAATCAGTAGGGCTCAGAGACTCAATCTGTAATCCCAGCACTTTAGAAGGCCGAGGCGAGGGATTGCCTGAGTCTGTGGATTTGAGACCAGCCAAGGCAACTTGACGAAACCTCGTCTCTAAAATAAATAAAACATTAGCCGGGCATGGTAGCATGCCTGTAGTTCTAACTACTTGGAAGGCTGATGCGGAAGGATTGCCTGAGCCCAGCAAGTAGAGGCTGGGGTGGCTGTGAGCATGCCACTGCACTCTAGCCTAGGTGATAGAGTGCGACTCCAACTCAAAAAAAAACTGAACAAATCACTGGCTTCACTACCTCACGAGCCTAAGACAGAAAGGAAGGAGAAGAGAGCCAGGGTGTGGAGAGCGAGGCAGAAACCAAGAGCAGAGCAGAAATGAGTGAAAGTGATTGAGCCTCAGAGAGAAGCACAGTGAGGGAGAGTGTGATCTTGGCAGAGGGTAGAGTTGGGTAACAAGAAACCAACTGTGTGCAAGAAGGAGATTGAGAAAAAATTTGAAGGAGAAGAATGCATTTGTTAGAATGAAGGGGAATGATGGTGGGAGGGAGGTGTGAGGGTGTGTGCTGAATGTTGACAGAATAGTTGGAATTTGTGTGACCTCCTTTGAGCTTATCCTTCAGTTTGTCTTCTGCAGCTTGCCTTGAAAAGCTGGGAAAGAGCAGGGAAAAACCCAGAGCCAAAACCTCTTTTGAGTCCTACTCCATCTCCCTCAAAACTCTAGTTCTTTTTCCTTTTCAGCTTCAGATCCTAGAGGAGTATGAACTCTCCTCTCACCAAGACCAGCCATGTTTGCTGTTTAAACTGGAAAGTGATAATTTCCTTTGCTATGTTGGGTGTGAGTCACAATACTTGGTTTGTGTACAAGAATAAACGTGTGCCCCATACCTTCTGCTACTGTCATCTCTTCTAGTTTTATACCCAAATCCTCATTTCTCCTAGATCTTCTTTAACCCATTTCCCTGGTCTGAGCTCTGATCGCTGACTCTATTCCTGCCCTCCCATTTTCACCCTTTCGGTCTTCTCTACCAGTTCTGTCCTGCTCTGATTTAGTCACCTCCACCATTCCTCTTGGTTCCCTCTCCCCACAGTCTCCATCCAGTTCCTCCCCCTTTCCTTCCCTTGCTCCATATTTTCCAGGCAAGGTCTCAGTTTACAGAACTGAGAAAAGTTCGAAAGGTTGTCTGAGCTCTTTGCCATCAACATTCCCTAGCTCCCTGGAGGAAACAACCATGTTAAACAGTCTCTGAGAATTAAACAAAGGGAAGACAATGGCTGGAGACAAAGGTGGGATGGGAGAGAAAAGAAGAGAAAGGAAGATCAGTGGGGACTGGTACTAATAAAGAATGGAAGGCACTGGAAGCAGGCTAAAAGGAAGTGCTGCAGTTCCCATTCCACCAGCAGAGGGCACATGTGTGCCAATAAACATGACCCAAGACTCATGCTCCCAAGTTCACTATCTCAGACTTCCAAAGGAAGGTCCAGAGACCATAGGCAAAATAGCCTGTCTTCACCTTCTGCCATTTTAGGTACTCAATCATAGGAGATGAAATTTTCAGTTTGTCTTTGTTTTTGAAAGGCAGAGTGGTAGTGTTGATGAAATCACCTTTTGCTATTTATGTTTTTTCTTCTAATTGTTTCCCTGGGTTGGGAGGGAATGGAGGAGGAAAAAGATAGTTCTGAAGGCGTAACTGATCTGGGCAGATGCCAACTGCCCCTAACCTTAATCTGAAAAATACAGGATGGGAGAAGGGCATACTTGGGAAGAATAGAGAACTCAGAGAGGAATAAGAGAAAGACAAAGGCTGGGCATGGTGGATCATGTCTGTAATCCCAGCACTTTGAGAGACCGAGGTGGAAAGATTGTTTGAGCCCTGGAGTTCGAGACCAGCGTAAGTAACATAGTGAGACCTCGTCTTGTCTCCACCAACCCCCTCCCCCAAAAAAGAAAGATTCAAAAGTCACTTCCTAGCCGGGCTCGGTGGCTCAGCCTGTAATCCTGCGCCTTTGGGAGGCTGAGGTGAGTGGATTGCCTGAGCCCGCGGGTTCGAGACCCGCCTGGGCA